AGATCAGGTGGGTAGAGCCCTCTTGAATGGGATTAGTGCCCTTATAAATTCCACTTGTAGAACTTTAATCTTTTATTTGCAAAATAAGTTTTGATCTCTGTGTTTTGACTCTTGGGAGGATAATTAAACAAGTTTCCATGTTCCCATACTTGAAATATTCCCACCCACTCCAGTTTTAGGTTGTCTAAGTCTGGTTTTTTTTTTTTTTAACTTCAGGAAAATTTTAAGATTATTAAATTGAATTTTAAGACATCAATGACATATCTTGTTTAATACATATTTGTATCATATCTGATACAGGCATCCATAATTTGTACTTTTCAAAATTTTTAAGTAATTCTTTAAAAAAAATCCTTCTTCTACTTCAGAAGAGATATATTAAATGGGTCTTATGTGGATTTCATCATCATCATCATCATCATGGAACAGTTACAGAAAACTGAAATGAAGTATYTAATCTATAGATGTTGTTAACTGAAATATATATTTTATATATATTACTAGGGATTGAACCCAGTTGTGCTCTACCAGTGAGCTACATTCCCCTTTGTGATTTTTAGTTTGAGACAGGGTCTTGCTGAGGTTGGTCTCAAACTTGAGACCTTCTTGCCTCAACCTCCTGAGTCACTGGGATGACAGGCACATGCCATCATGCCTGGCTTGTACTTTTCTACACAAAACAAAATATAATAAAAATACCTATAATCCCTCCTGGTTGAAGACCTGGACCTACTGTTAACTTAGCCTCTCTTCCATTCTTCTCCCCCAGTCACTAAGACCTGTTAGCATCTGTTCCCACTGACAACCTACTATCCACCTCTCATTTCCATTTCTGCCTGATCACCCCGTTCTCTCCAGTACCCTCCTCCTCTTAAGCCCTTTTCTTATTTCTTGACATTCTAATGGTTCCTGTAGATATTTCCAGATTAGAATGCCATAGCTCCTACTTTTTTCCATCAGGTCCACAGTTTTTTAATTAATTCATTTGTTTTCATTTTCTAAAGTTTATCCTTTCTTTTCGTCTCTAGTTCTATTTAGTTGTTTTCTTCACTCTTAAACTGAATTGCTCACTCTTGATGCCCTTTTAGGGCACAGAATCCTTTGAAAAGATACTAAATCAATGTGCCATAAGTCCCCTGCTCTCCCCATACATCCTAAGAATTCTTTTAACTATATATATACTATAGTGACATAAAAATTAGTATGTACAGGAGGCTTATAATTTTAACTTTATTAACAATAGTAACTTTTATTATTGTGAGGKTCCCTTTATCTCATTTAATTTTGAATTACTTTTCTAATCTTTATACACTTAAAGCTAATATTTGGGGTAGTACTTGTCTAACATAMATTTCTTCATCTTTTTTTTATTTTGCATTTTTTTGGATTGTATTAGGTGTTTAAGAAAATAGCCCTCTGATATTTTTCAGTTCTCTGCATTATTATTTTACTATTTGTTGATCATTTTGGAAAGGGTGTCCAAAGTCAATTTAAATTGTCCCCATGGATAGGTAATTTTTTAAAAACTTGTTCAAAATGCTGATGGGTTATTTTCCTTCTTATTTTCAAATCCAAAGTGTTTGAAAGACTACATCTAGATGTTAACTATGTTTGACTTATATTTCCTGGCACATGACAACCTATTTTGATTTGCATATTTGGGTATTTTTTAATCTCAGAAGAAAAAATCTGATCTCATTCTCTTTCAAACATGGCTGTGTTCCATTGCTTTGCTCCCTGTCAGGAAGAGCATGTGCTGTGTCTCTGCTGGCTCTCTTCCCTAGGTACCATCCTTTCCACAAACAAATTCTTCCTTTCCTCTCTTTGCTCTGTGTGATTGGAGATAATTATCACTCTTGATCTCCTCAGACGTGACTCCTCTGGTAGCAGGGCTCTGGCCTCTGTACTTCTAATGCTCCTTGACTGGCTCCTTGGATCTGCTCTGGCCTTTGCCTCTGGACCCCTGGACCCCTGGGGGAACTGTCATCTGCACACATTCCATTTGGTGGAGCTGCACTTGCCCAGGACCTGATGGAGAAGCTGCTTCCAGAGTCAAGTGTCTGTCTGACCACTGCTCCCAACCAGCCTGCACCCCTTCAAGTTAAGAAGTTCTCCCAGAATTTTTCTTCTGAGTTTTTGTACCACTATCTTAGGGAATTGTGAACTTTAGTTTGATGCCTCAGTCCAGTTCCATCTCCACCGAATTGACTAGAAATGCCTAAGTCTTGGTAGTCCAAGGACAAAAGGTGCTCTGGCTCTAAACTTAGTATTTCTCACTAAATAGATTCCTTTGAACATTTATTTAAAGTCTGAGCAGGAAAGTAAAAACAAACTAGACTGAACTCAACAGCCATTTTTGCTAAAAGAACTTGCATTTACTTACATTTTTTCTGCTTTCAATTTTTATAACTTTTCTACTTTGGTTTTACTATAAAAGGTGCATTTTATCATAAAGTTTTCAGACAAATTTGTTAAAGGTCAAGTATTTATGTAGCACAAAGGTCATAAATTCAAGTTATTATTTTTTCTTTTATTCCCATAAAAGAGGGAGATGATTTTCAAGTACTCTTTTTTAAAAAAATTGAAGATTTACTTCAAAAGCATATTATGAATTTATTCAATATTATAATCTGAAGTTCTTTGGAAGCCAATTGTATATACAGGTAGATATACAGATCTGATATTGTATGTTATATATCATGTATATATGAATTTTTTAAGAGAAACTTAAAATATAAACAAATCACTATACTATAGTTATCTGTTATGAAATTTGTGACAGCTCGGTGTAGGCATCCCCAGGTAAAAAATGACTATAGAAAATGCACAGTTAGTGGTCATTTGTTAGGTTGTTGGACCTATGACGCTCGTTCTGTTTTCTCCATTCTGTCATTTCTATCCTCTGATTGGAAATTTTAAAAAAATGAATAYTTGCATAGAAAAAGTTTTGTTGGTGGGTATAAAATTTCTTGGATAGGTCCCTGATATGGATAAAGATCAGATAACATGAAAGTCAAGCTCTAAAATGTTGATAGCAGTTTTGAGGGGGTAACTCATAATCTCTTTTAAGTTCAAGATTATATATTCTAAATCTAAACTAGAAGATAACTGTCCATGCACCTGCTTACATAATTATCTTTCCTGATAGATTCTTAGAACTTTGGTCCATCTCTTCTCAAGGAAAACTCAGCTTATGGCCCAGTTCCTGTCTTATATTAGGATATATAATGTAGATGTGATTTTTCCCCATGAACTGAAAAGCACACACAAGTCTTTTTCCCAAGAATAAATCAATGTAGCCGCTCCTATGCACACAAACACACATATACACTCACAATGAATGCAGGTAAAGAAAAGAAACAGAACACATTACAAAGATATACCCAGAGGAGAAAATGCTATTTAAACCCTCAATTAACTACACTGCAGCAAGTACTACTGTGAATAGATTTACTTTTTTCTTTCAAAAGTATATTTTTCATCTTTTGACTATCTTGCAAGTCATGCTCAAAGTTACAATTCTATTACCACTATTTCACAAGACATGATCACTTCAGTTTTTACCCTGGTTCTAGTACAGTCCTTTTCAGTGAAAACACATCTATTTTACAAAAATGTTACATCTTCTATGAACAGGTAAYGGGCTTTTCCACTTTTCAATTTCTCTCTAAAGCCTGATTTCTTCCTCATTATTCCTGGTCCTAGCAATGACCGGGTCAAAATGTACCACAGAAGAATGAAAAATCCAACACAGAACGGCACACAGAACGAAAGCCGGCCAGTCTGGGAATTAATTTTTGTTGTGGAGTTTGGGAAGCCATGATTGTTGAAACTTCCTCTTGGGATATAAAAAGACCCTCCTGATGTATCTGCTTCAGGAGTAACCACCACAGTCCACCTTCTCTTCTCCCAGGTAATACAAAGTTACAGTTGTAGCTGTGAAACTATGAATCACAATTTCTTAAAAAAAAAAAAAAAAAAAAAAAAAGGCCACCTGTTAATTTTTGATCTCCTATGAGAGGTCTTCTCTACCCACCACAGACCCAAAGTCACTGGTGCTTAACTCTCGGTCACCACCCCAGAAATGGCCTCGTACAGTAACCACAGAAACCTTCTGAGGCCCAAGAAGTGTCTGTATTCACACATCCTAAGAATATAATCCAGGAAAAATTGGGCCTGAAACTGAAAGATTGGTCCCATGGTCTTTAGGTAACTTGGGAGCTCAGAGTTGTCACACCATCCACAAGGAGGAACATTGGAGTCACAGAGAACCTCTGGGTCAGGATTCTGGGCCGGCCTCAGGATTCAGCCAGGCCATGTATGCAGGGTTCCTCCTAAAGGTTCAAAGACAAAATGGTGTTGCTTTAGAAGGACACGGCTTTGCTGGCTGTGTGGCCACCCTAATGATAACTGCTTAACCAGACCAATTAATAAAATGAGGGACATTTAGCAAACGGTAATCTGTAGGAACACGGGGGTGGGGCAAAGCCACCGAGCCCCTCTCGAAACCTGCAGGAGCAGGGCTGCGCCCCACACCTGCGCCTTGGCGCAGAGGTTGACCCAGGCAGCGGGGGACAGATCCAGCTGGAGCAGTCGCTCTCGCCATGCTCATCAGCCCCATCCCCAGCCACCTGCTCTCCCCACCCCCAACACCTGCTAGATGGCCAGGCGGGGCAGGCCCCAGGTCTGGCGGCCTTTGGCTTCCGGGCCGGCCAAGGCGCAGCTCGGTGCGGGCACCCCAAGCTCCGGCGCGCAGCGGCAGGGAGGACGCACCGCGTGCCCCTTCCCCGCGTCGCCACCTTTGGGGAGYGCGCGCCCCGCGGTAAGGAGGGGGCGCCCCTCCTGCGGCCTTGAGGGGCCCGGGTCCTCAGCCCCCTCGCGCCCGCGCGCCTGTGGGGCCCAACCCGGGCGAGGGGCGGGCAGCGCCTCCCGGGCCTCCCGCGCAGGGCATGGTGGCCGGCCGCGCCGCAGCCTCCCGGGCACCGGCAGCAGTGACCAACCTGTAACCCCAGCGCTCAGAGCGGTCATGATGCCCGCGGGCGGCGGCGGCGGCGACGGCGGCGGCGGCGGGCGGCGGGCGGGATCCGTGCCGGGCGCGGCGCCCACGGCGGGCGGGGACGCGGGCCCCTCACCTACGGCGGCTCCGTCAGCGCGCTCGGCCCGGCGGGGGCCGCCGCTCGGCTCCGGTCGTGGCAATTAGCATCGCTCCCGCCGGGGCGGGGGAGGGGGCGCGGGGCAGTTCTGGGGGCGTGAGGCCTTTCGGTTTGTTTGGTGTTTGGAGCTGGCTTTGCCGCAGGGGCTGCGGGATGCCCGGGGATGCAGGGAGGCCAGGCAGAGGAGACGGCGCGCAGCCCGTGGCGGGCGCGTGGGTCGGTACTTGCAGGTTCCCTCTCTCCAGCTGCCACCCACATCCAGCCTCTCAACAGCTGGGCGCTCATCTGCCGGCTCCTCTGGGGTCTTGCGCTCACCCCGCACTCGCGCGTGCACAGGAGCCCGGCATATGCGGGGTAGACGCCAGGCCACCGCATAGAGGCCAGCCAGGCCAGCCAGCGTCCCTGTGTAGCCCTACTGTATACAGTCTGAGGATGTGAACTGCTTTCACCATTCGTTAGGAAATGGCTAAATAATGAATGCATCAGAGTCTTCTAAAATACGTTGACATTTCTGAAAATGAGCCCAGAAATGGAGATTGAAAGCCCATTTACAGATTATTAGTTAATCCCATTCCCTGTGTGTGGTACCCGAATAGAAGGCTGCACCTGAGGTTTCCTAGGACTCCTAGCACAGCGGAGTCCAAGCACCACGCTCAGGCCCCAGGACGTTCCCCCACTCAGCTCCCTAGGAGCTGGCCCTGTAGTCAGATATCAAAATCACCAAGGAACTCCTGGCCCGTGATTTTTTTCCAGCTTTCACCCAGGCACATGAGTAGAAAAAAAGGAAAGAAGCTTTCATTAAATAGAAAACCTAAACAGAGAACAACTGTCTGTTGCAAAATGTTTCATTCCTAGGGATGAAAGTAAAATTTCACACGCCTACATTTTTAAACTGTATTATCTGGTTATGCATATTCAGTTAAGTTAAAAACCTATTCACAATCCATTAACCACCACAATCCATATTAGCTGTTTTGTTTGAAGGGATTTTTTTAAATAATTGGTATTTCATAATATCAGAACTATGGGATTATTTTTTCAAATTTCTGAAGCCTTCAGAAAGACCAACTATTTAAAAACCTATTTTGAACAAATGGTGAACCATTCATCATACCAAAATTAAAAGTAATTTAAACAATGGTAAATCTATGACTAATTTGGAAAATTAGCATATTTTGGAAAATGACCAATTTTCCATCAGGTTATGTCACTGTTCTTATTGTTGAACCTAAATACTAATCTATTTCAGTTAATGTCTGAAAATTCATAGCTGTAGGTCATTGTCTGAAATTCATAGAGTTAGAAATATCAGTAAGGAAATCAGATTAATGAAACATGAGGATATTTACCAATTTTTTGAATAGAGTGATAAAGATAAGTGATTTTACTAATCTCAGCACTACACTTCAAATGGGCATCTTAGATGCTTCTCTGCCAGTGGTTGAAATACCTCTATTTAAGCATCTATGATTCATGCTTAGGGAGCCCAACAATCCCATGGATACTGGAAATAATCTTAGAGAATCCATTGGCTTCAAGCAAAATCTATGGGCTTTGAGGGATGTATGGAAAAGCTCAGCATATCCATTCTGGAATCTTAAAAGAGTTCACTGTATCTGGAAGTTCATAATCATTGTAAAAGGCAGATGCTCACATTTAAAATGTCATTTTACCCATCCTACCTGCTCCTCCTCCTCCTCCTATTTTCTTTCAGTTAAAGTAGGGAAGAATGGACAAGCATCTTTTCCAGAATTGCTGCTCTGTGGGTTCAACATCATTCACAGGTGTCTCTTCTCTGACTTGCAACATATTTTTGACAAATTAAGATCAATTATCAACATTTGAACACCAAGAGGTTTTTGTTTTATTGTGAAAATTATGAAGATCTGGCTGAGTAGGGTTGCATCTCCACGTGTCATGGAGCAGCTGGGGACATCTTGTGCCTTTGTTATTTAGGCATATACTTCTCATTTGCCCACAGATCTCCAGCCTGCATCAGTTCCTGGCCCTGGGAAGTGTTTTTATAGTGAGAAACAGGGTTAAATCTGTATTAAGCAGTGTGACAAGGGACCCACCATTCAGGGAGAAAGCAGTTGATTAATACAAGGACTTTTGCAGTCCTGAAGGTGAAGYGGAGGCAAAGCACAGCCAAGACAGTAACCTGTGGCTTAGAGGGAACTGTGTTCATAGTTCAGCAAGGGCTTTGGCATAGAAATAGTTATGAAATAAAATAGTATGAATTTGATGAAAGCAGGATATTTATTTCTCACTAACTTATCTGCTCCTACTGTTTATTCCCATCAAAAGTTAGTATCGCCTTTGATGTCATAGTGAGTTACTGAAAAACAATAACCATGCTAAAAAGAGAAATTTTTAAATCCATGGGTGATGTCATGTGCTTTATGGAAATGCAGTTACCAGACTCTACTTGGAGAGAATTCTATTTGAGCAGGATTCCGTTATATTTGATGCATGGGCACATTATGCTTAAATAATCACCCAAGGAAAGACCATTTTTTTTAAAGGATTGGTTTAAGTCAGCACATACTTGTTTATGTTGTGTGATTTCAAGGACCCCTTGCCACTGAATACTGATATGATGAATTTTCTGTTGAAGACATTTTAGCCTGGGAAAATAAAGATAAGGAAGTCACACTTAAAAAATACAGAGAGGCTAACCAAGAGGMATCTCCTGCTCACTAATTCACTGATGTGGATCCTCAGGTACAGCATTCAGTCCAGATGCACTTTAGTGATGGAGGGTGTGGGGAATTTGTTTTTAAAATTATTTTTTAGTTTTAGGTGGACACAATATCTTTATTTTATTTTTATGTGGTGCTGAGAATTGAACCCAGTGCCTCATGCATGCTAGGCGAGTGTGCTACCACTTGAGCCACATCGCCAGCCCCGGGTGTGGGGAATTTTACAACTGTAGTTTTAACACCATTGGTGGCAGGACTCAAAACATCAAGTGCCTCTGGGGACAGGGAAGAGATACTTAGAGGAGATTGCTAAGTTGCACTGCCCCAAAGACCAAGTTATCCCTGTGTTGGTTCTTTAGGGAAGTAACAAAGGTGAGATGGGCCAGAGCCATCTGATATGGAAGCATTGAATAGGTCCTTATCTTCTCATGAGTCAGCATCTCTGGGCACAAAATACTTATTTATAATTTAAATATTACAAGGTTTTGCAAGATACCTCACGTCCCTCCTTTTCCTTATGTGACGTTTTTTACACTTCACTAACAATAAGGCTCACCTGGGTCATTGTAAATATTTCCATGGAGGCTCTGATTAAGCATCTCTGGAGTGGGACTGTAACTACAGAGTATCCCTCTGAATAAAGCAGTTGTCCTTTAGGCAAGACTGTTCCAGTAGCTGACACCTCTTCATAGGAGTTCCTTTCTACCTCCCTTTCCTCTCTTGCAGGCCACCTGTGCCTCTGTTATATGGACTGGATCCGTTCTGGAATCCCTGAAGCAATAAAAATGTGTGAGTGAAACTAGGTGGTGAAAGACCATCTGCTGTGTGAGAGTTGAGGTCTTTGCAAAGTTATCAAATGGCCATTGGATGTTTCAAGTCTTTCCTGCTTGTACTGAAATCAGTCTAGAAGGGAAATAGGCTTATTGTGGTCTTCAACAGAAAGCAAAGGAAGGAAGTGTAAGACCATGAAGAGTTGGTGTTAAACCTCAGAAAAAAACAAAAGYTGGCAAGAAATGCCATTCACCTCTCTTATGGAAAGCCCTCATCTGTGGGAGGGATTACAGAAGATGCACTGGGCTTGGAGAACTGCACAATACAGGGGTAAGTGTGTGTTCCACAGGGTAAATTGGAAAAAAATTTCCTTCCTCACCATTTTGCTCTACTTTAGAATTACATTTTCAGAGGAAACTGGGTTTTTGAAGGGAAAAAAGGAAGGCTATGGAATCAGGAATAAACATTAATACCAATTAAATGCTTTGCTGGGAGCAAAACAGAGGCCTCATTGTGCTGAGTAGTGGTTGAACCAATTGCCCAGGGGAGCTGATGGAGTCTAAACACAAAGGTCATGTTTCAAGTGAATCACTCAGTAATAAAATGATGCATATTTTGACTATTTCATAAAAGCTGTTACCAGGTAGAAGTAAATCTTTGAGTTTCTAAATAACCATGAGGACATCATTTGTTGTACAAAATGTCTAAATAAGTACATCTGAACCAGGTGTTCAGACCCTCAGGACCATAGACTGAGTCACTCTGTAAGGCAGGTTATCCCAAAATGCTGGCCAAAGCAGGAAAAGGATGCAGARCTGGTAACAGAGAAGAGAGATTAGCATTGCTTTTTCATTTGGGGTCAGTGGCAGCAGCAGAGACTGTCAGTCATTTTACTACTTATCTTCTTGGAAGTTGCCTAGAAATTGAGAACAAAAAGGATCTTGGATAAAATGTGTCTGTATGGAATACACCTAATCTGAGAAGCAGGCAGATCAGAACAGCTAGAGAAGGAGAACAGGGACTGAGCTGGGGCTGAAGCCACCTTTGTACACAAAGTGAGCACCCAGCCCTCCAGGTGGACCAACCCTGGGGTGGAGCTCCTCTTCAGCGCCCCCTGCTGGACATAAACTGCACCTCTATTGGAAAGGAAGAGTACTGTACTGTCCATGGTTTAGATTGTCCCAAACAGGGCCTCAGATATGTCAACTGGGTCAGTGTTGTTGATAGTGCAGTTCAATATTTTCCATCTTTACTCAGTTTTCTTTATGATTTTCTGAAAAACTGATTTTTGTATTAAAATTCCCCAGTATGATTGAAGGCTTGTATTTTCTTTATCTTTCTGTCAACTTTGCTTTAGGTGATCTGTGGTTGTGTTACAAAGTACACACAAATTTTAAATTACTATATTTTTCCAAGTAAAATTTTGGTCATTCAAARCTGACTCTATCTGATAATGTATTTTTCCATAAAGTGGTATTAATATAGCCATACCAGCTTTCCTCTGCATATATTTTTCAGTCTTTTAAGGTTTTATATTTTGTTCTTTGGTCTTTTTTTCCAAAGAAAGAT